GCTGACAAATCGGTATATCTTATCTGATGCTCTGTCAATTGTTTTAAAGGTGATAAAAAACATAAGATATCTGATCAACAAAATGAATCTATATTTTTAGTTAAGATAATAAATTATTAGAACTTTCGATATGACGACAGTACGCAGATTTAGACAGATCGTAGCGAACTATTTTTCATAAGATGAAAAATGATAAGTTATACTTAAGTCTGAGTATGCCGGCTAAATATGCAAATAGCAGAGTTTAAACTTCGATTTCGTTGAACGTTGCATAAACAAATTAAGATACAAGAGTCATCTGAAGTAAAACCAGCATACTTTTTCTCAAAAATAACTGAATTTTCTTTGCAAATAGTTCGTGTAATGAGCATTAGAAATAACGCCATTAACAGTTATCTACTAATCAGTAAAAGTAAGTTACAGCAAAAAGGTTATTTTGCATTATACTTTAAATAAGAAAAACGAGTAAAAAACTTCATTTTCACACTTTATGGATAGTAAAAGATAATTTTATGTTTGATAATAAGAATGATATAGATGAGATGTAGTTTGGAAGGTTATCGCAAAGCTAAAGAGGTGACAAATCATAAAATGTAACAACAACTATTTTTTGTTGTTGTTTTGAATGTGATATTTTTTTTTATAAACACCTCTTGATGAATGATTATCATGTATCTAAAACAATGTTCAGGTGAATTAGTGCGCTCATAATTTGATACTGAACAATTAAACACATCTGTGTACAACCGAATAAATTATAGAATAAAATAGACTTTTTCTTCTTTCATTCATATACCCAACAACTTTTAAATACTAGTATGGTCGAACACTTCGCATAGTGCACAAAATATATAAAACAAGATCAACTAGACAAGGACTTGAAAAGATATTATCCGCTGCCGTATGAGTGTTAGATCTAAGACTATAAAGAATTCTAAAAATTAAACTTTTCCCATCTATGCGAACGAAAAATATGATGTCGTCAAACAACTCTTACATCCACTAAACAACAAAAAACAAAATAATGAGATAAGCATTAAGATCATTTTTTTTTTGAAAATTGAAAGTTCTAATTAGAACTTATTAGCAAACAGTGAGCAAGATACGTTTTTTAAAATTTTCTATAATAAACGAATAACCTGTCGGTTTTACTAGTAAAAATCCTTCACTAGTGATGCAATTCACTGACGAGTAAACGTTTCAGTGTCTAAAACGAAGAGTGAGTCTAATCATAGTACCATTTTCCACTAAAATTTATTCAGCAATCTATGAGATTTTAGGGCTTCTTTGATAAGGAGGCATATTTTCTTAATGCAATACACATAAAAACATATATTTATTCAGATGCAGATAGATACTTACAATAAAAGTCAGCTGCAGCTTGAGCACCGGGTGAATAATATGGCGTTGGAAGGCGCGGTCTTGGTGCCAAAATATTATCAATAGAAAATGGATTATGAGAAGTTGTTAACGGGGCAAAAAAGCCTGGAAATTGTTTTAAAGCTTCTGAATAATGCGAATGCGGTAATTGATACATAGTTTATTTCGTCGAGTTCGTGTACGTGTTGATGTAACTAATAGGAAAATTCGTTCTATACGATTATACAATGCCAAATGAAATGAATATACACAAAAGAATCTTTTCTCTCTTTTTCTTATGTTTGAGAAACTTCTGATGAAAAAAGAAAATATCCAATGTAAATGTTTAAAGTTTTGTTGATTAAAGCGTTAAAAGCTGTGAAATATTTTTGTAACAAGATGAAAGAAAATAATTTCAATTCTTTGCTTCTCTCTATCTCTATATATATTCACCAATCATTGCATGTGTATTTACTTCTTATGACTATTTTTTTAATTGTAGATTTTGTTCTATGAGTATTTTAAACAAATAGAAATATATTGATCGTGTTGATTATTTTTGTCTTTTATATACATATATGTAGGTGACGACGTAAAAATGATATTAATAATTGAACGAAAAAAGGGCGAAGTGAAAGGCCGATCATTTTTTGATATGTGTACTAAATTAGAAACACACTCTTTTTCTTTTCTTGTTTTCTTTTTCTTTTTCGTGTAGGAGCCAATGAGTGTTGTACTCAAAAGTGAACCAATACATTAATAAAACTGATTGATTTTGATTTATTCACTGGCAACTATATCAGTAGGCAACGAAAAAAGTCGGCTCTTAAAAGATGTATTTAAAAAATCAAAAAAAATAAATCTCTTATTTGTCACAGTATCTTCAAATGTTTAATTCGAAAAACAGCAAATAGTACTTTTTACCTCTAGAGTTTTACCAATATGTTTTTGAACTATTCCGATTTAAAATAAGCACACCCCTCACTTTCTTATCTAATATGTAAAATCAAAATCGATTTTATAAAAATATGTTAAGCGTCCATCAAACCCAGTTGTTCCACGTTCATAGACATGTACGGCAGATTTCCTCTAACTACAAAGTCCAAAAGTCAAAAACAAAATGGTGCAAAAAGATTTTCATGGGAAAATAATATTAATTTAAAAACTTCTCCTAAACATTGGGAGTATCCCTCGCCAAAAATAGAACATCTTCTGGGTTATCGAGTGTGTTGGGTACGAAAAAGTACTTTTCAGCAACTCAAAACTAACTTCATTTTTTTCCTGTTGATTTTCAGACGGACTGAGTAAGAGTCCTTCTAGTTAGTGAAAATAAATCGTCGATTTATGTCTCAGAATAAAGCAAAACCAAAGTGATATTGTGCAAAACCCATTCAACTCAAAAACACCTTTATTTTTTGTTCCGATGATATGCCTTCTGTGCGACCTCTCATCTCGAGTCCCATCTCTGTAGTTGAATACCCGGTTCTCCAAGTTGAAACTCACAAACATCTTGTAAGATACATGATCATTCCAAATGGAATTCATCTCCCGTCAATTGATGTTCTGCCTTTTTAACAGAGAGTTTTAGTGTGAACAGTGGCGTCTGAGACGTATAACCTATTATGTTCCCGTCTTTTCTACTTCAGACATATTTACTTACAAATATTTTTTTGATTTATCTACATCATCTACATGATACTTTCGTCATTTCATCGATCTTATAAGATTTGATTATAGCATACTTACTAAGTAGGTGAGCCTCGTCAGAGTGGTTGAAAAGTCTTGTAAATGAGGATAAGTCTAGTTTGTAACTTAAGCTTTCACGGACGTTAAATTAAGTTCAACTTTTTTTAAAAACAAATTCGATAATTTCGCACGGCATTTCTATTGAGACTAACGGTTTAGACATATGGGTTACTCTCTGAGAATCAGTTTAATATCCTAGAGTAGCTCATAACATCTTTCTCTCACCTGGCGGGTCACGCATCTCCTAAGAGTCCGGAGACATGAGATTAGATTTATTTATTAACGAAAGGTAATTTCGGATGTATAAGTCGCTCCGGATTGTTAAAATAAGCCCGTATAGCGTATCGTAAAAATCCAAAATGGATTTTTTTTTGTTGAAATATAGAAATGGAAATTGATTCTTATATAATTTAAATGTTTATACATTGTTGTTGTCTAAAAAATACTTTTATCGTGAGTTATATTCATAAATAATCAAACTGAATTCATGAACCCTGTTGAAAAGTGTGATGAAATCATGTTTTTAGATTTTTTTGCAATATCGTTGTTCATTATGAGAAATACTCGCGAGAAAACTAAAATTTGCCAAAGGTTTCAGATGATGCGAGAACATTCATCTACGATAACTGGTATCAACTTTTTGCTCTATATTTGCACTTAATTATTTATCACGTGAAATATATATCGATTCGTACGGACTCGTATTTGTTTTTTTTTCACGATCTGATATAGCTGCAAAAAGTATAATTTGAATTTATTTAACATGTAGCAAAAATTTAATTACTTTGAGGGCATGCGTCTATACACATGAATGTTGAAAACAAAACTTCATTAAATGCTTGTAATATTTTAATAGAAGATACACATGTCCCATTCGAATATCAATTAAAGACACATTAGGGAAAAAAAGAGAGGAAAAAGCGTATGAGACACAGCAAAACGTATGAGCGTTGTGATGCATGTGCAAAGACATGATTCTTTTGATTTGACTAAAAAATAACTAAAATTTTTTCGCATATTTCTTGCTCTTTATATACACATCAGTTCAGCGTAACATTTTTGTACTAAATATTAGTTAAAAATATTCATCCCCTCTTCTAACAAATAAAAAAATCGATATAATTCTTTTACTATAGAAAGAACGACTAACAGTATCTCAGAATGAGAAAGTATGCATGCTGTGATATTCGATTGGATACCTGATAACAATTTAATCTAATTGATTGCTATGTGTAATAGTCTTCTCCACTATTTGATGCGACGAGTATCCAAGATCAAATTACTTTGCCACTGCGTTAATTTTTCTCTCAAAGTGCAGAGTTCACGTTTAATTTTTGGAACACGGAGAATCTTCTGTTCCTCTAATCATGAAGTCTGCTCGATTGAATTTAGTTGAATTCTTTCACTTGTTTGTCTTTTACTTATTTATTATTTACTAAAAAATAAACTCCTTTTCTCCTTTGTAGTTATACGTATATTAAACACTCATATGTAATCAGTAACTAAGCATTGTGTGTATGTTTAAAAGTCTGTAACACCGACGGTCAACATGTAACAATGCTGGTTTTATTACAACAAACAAAGAAGAGAAAATGCCAGAGGATATTGAAAGTACTATTTTAAAATTTTTTTATTAAAAGTCGAGAGCTTTTTTTGCTTAACAAATTTTGTCACTCTTATTGTCTCTAAACATTTTATAAAACAATTTATCAAGTATCGAAACACATTATCAAAAATAGTGATTTTATTCGTGTTTTTAGAAGTATAATTTCGTTCCTTTGTATATAGAAAAAGAAACGAATAAATTTCTCAAAAATGATAGAGAAAGAAGAAGAAAGAACAGAAAAAATGACCAACAAACACTTGAACACTTTGTAAAATTAAAATTTTCGTTCGATAATGACGTTGAACAATAAATACTACATATTCACAAATAACTATAGCTCTATTGATCAGTAGAGTGATGAATTTCAATGAAAGGAAGTTAGCCGTAAAACTAATGATCAGAAAGAATTCTCATACGATTGATGAGAACTTCAAATATTTTTTAATCTAGATAATTCGAAAATACATAAAACTGTGTATTTATTTGTACTCATCGAAAGTATAATACAAGATTGAGATTGTTTCTGACAAAGTGTTTTAATTTTCAATTGAAAACCTGTGCTTAATGTACTCTTCTTCGGAAAGAACTATATCAGTTTTTTCAGTACAGTTATTCATGAAAAATGTAGCATCATTACATCCATCATCTGAACACGTGTTCAGATCCACACATAGATTGCAAAGTGTCAATATTATAAATTCAGTTTAAAGTCTCTAATAACAGATGTAAAACGGCCTGAGAAATGTTTATTTAACTTTTACCGCAAACTCTTTATTTAATTTTACTTAACCCTTGCTCTATTTCTCTTCTAGCATAGAACATGAAAATTCGTTTTTTATCTGAAAGAACAATTCAGAATCTATTAATCTGATAAAAAAGTTTGTCTCAAGGACGAATGACGAGAAATAAAGTCCTAAAGACCTGTTGATATTACAGAAATTTGTAATTTGATTTTTCATTAAAAATTGATAAAACTTGTTTTCTATCAGTTTTAATGCTGAATCCAAATATCATGTTTATTCTATCTGTTAGGAACATCCTAAGATTTTCTTCTTAAGATTAGTGAAAATATTTTACAGAATTAAATTGCTTAAATTTTTTCTAGCTGTATTCATATATCGGTTATCAACCGATATAGTTTTCAAACTTGACTGGTCGAATAGTTTGAGTATTAGCGACGAGCCTCCCAATCATTGTTCCTGAATATTATATATGACCTTTTATAGATAACACATTACAGCATTTTTGGCTACTTCCAGGACCATTGAACACGATCGAAAATTCGAACAAGAAAAAATGCGTTTTTTTCTCTTCTTTCTTTTTTTCAGAACACCTCGACGCAGTTATGTGTAAAAAACGTTTTAAAACGCATCTGTGAAAAAGAACATGCATTTCTTCTTTCCTTGATTTTTTCTCATTCCTGATTTTGAAATGCGTTTGTTTCTGTTTTCGAGCGCATTATTAAGCGTTTCACTTAGGGAAAAAAACGCATTTTCTGCTGTTTCAAATTGAAAAACGTAAGAAAATATGCTTCGGAAATAATTTTGCGCTGTCTTCCCTTTAACTATATAGAACGCATTACACTAATTAAACCCATTTTTTAACGTTTTTTATCCATAATAAATGGCTGGACGCGCGTTCTTGATATTTCAATATAATCTAACACATTTTTATTTTGTGAGCACAAACAAAATGGGCTCTTTCACGCAAAAGGAAAAGAACCACGGTTATTTAGTAAAACGAAATATAAAGAATAGTTGAAAGTTGACTGAAAAAAGGTGTTGATCCACTTGAGCTCAATCAAAAAAGGGCACATATGGTTTTTAGTATGCTGCAGCTGAACGCGTCTGTTCGCGTTTCAAACTGTGATCATTTTATGGTGACTTATGAGATATTTTTCTCACTTTTCATTTTTCTTTCAGTTTTCCCCATCAGTGCGCAAGATAGGCAAGTTCATAGATTTCTTAATCTCTAGTAGAGCAAGTTTTGCTCTATGACGTGGGATTCCTCGATTTTTGTAAAGTGTAGGATATATGAGAAATATCGAGATTAAAGCTACCTAGATCAAAAAATCAGATCAAGATCTTACACGATCTTATAAAATCTTACGGAAAATCACAGAAACGGATTCATCTTATAAAATGTTATACAAATCATACAAGAATCTTACGAAATCTGATGAAATCTTACTATAAGATCTTACATCAAGAATCAGTTTCTATGTTTCTTACAGAATCTTATAAATTCTTATACGAATCTTACGAAATCAGACCGAATCGTACAAGAATCTTATAAGATCTTACAGCAAGATTCTTTGACTGGGTAGTGAAAAGTGTATATTTCCGAAAAAAGAGGTGCCCGTGAAAATCTTCAGCATGTTGTAGTGCTCGTATCAGCAAAATTTTCTAAGTTCTCATCTGCCTTCGTCCTGAGACAGACTCGAAGAGGGTAGTAAAGTCAACTATATAGGTTCTACGAATTAGAACCCTTCAGTGGATTACGTAAAAGAAGAGAAAAATTTTCTAATCTACCATTTTGGAACAACAACAAACGCGTTTATTTATTTAAACACGAACAACCGCGTTTTTTCAAGATTTTCCAAAAAAGACAACAGATAAACGCGTTTTCTGTGCAAACATGAGCAGATTCAAATGGCCAATTCTTAAATGGCAACTAATACTTTAAATGTCTGAATTCGGCGTTTTCCGCTCGATACATTGTCGCTACTGCAGCAATTTACATACTATGAAAACTTCATACTATATAGCGAAGTTAATATTGCTACAAAGAATATATAATAAAACAAATTATATCCACTAGTCTGTTTTTGAATAGTATATATTGCATTAGTGATTTTATTTTAGTCTTTAGCGGATGTAACTGCTTTATACTTTATTGGTGTATTACGAAAAGGATGCTTTCTTTATGAATAAGTGAGCGCGCTCAATTTGGTAAACAAACCATCTGCCTGTTTGGATCCTCACACCCGACTATTTTAACAACAATATCTGTAATTGTGCTGATACATTGTATTAGGTATCTGTACTTATTCGCAAGAAACTGCGAATTGTGTAAATCAGCGAAAATTAGGTTTTCAGATCAGTATACTCTGAATGATGGTTGGTAAACGTAAAATAATTTCTGCCTCTATGACTGCTTTGAAAGCAAATAACAACGTAACGAATGGTATTGTCGACAAACATGACAGGCATGATGATGAGAATAATAACGACATCAACGAGAAAGTTATTATTCATGCAAATCGTTCAAGACGTCGACAATTGTCCGTTTCTAATGGTAACGGCTATCACAATACATCCATTGAAAAACCTAATGATTCTCCTCTGCAATTACCTGTTACTGATAAAGGTAGGATGATACTGCTAACATTCTAGAACCTCAAGTGTTCCTATCCATTTATCTATCCTACTTATCTATCTGCGTGTTAACAGAGAAACCCTTCGTCTTGACTTTTATACAAGAGGCTTTTCTAATACAAAGTTAAGTCAAAAAACGTTAGAAGTTACGAGCAATAACTATCTACATAAAAATGACGTCGCACTTGTGCGTAGAAGTGCGCAAAAGGTGGTTGTTCATGTTAGCTCTAACAGAACAGAGAAAGCAAAGCACTAAATCTAATAGAATGAGTTCAAAACCGCTGTTTTTCGAATTAGTATACCATTCGTGTGATGATAGATAAAACAAGAAAAAAAGCGTCTTTGGTTTTTTTAGATCAATTGATAAGACAAATAAACGAAGACGAAGATGTATCACCCACAAAAAGAACAAAAATTGAATGTGAGACAGATGAGAGTGAAGAAGAACAAGCAACACCAAGAACGACAATAAATGGAAATATAGTTCAAAATAATCTTGCTTTAGCATCATCAAATGCCTTCAACGACGTAGAAGAAGACGTAAAAGTATGTTAAATAGAGAATAAATCATCTGAATTTGTGATTAATATTATTTTTATTTTCTCAGGATAATGTTGATCAACAAATTAAAGATGAAGAGAAACAAGCTGATGATATTGTTATCAAAGATTTGTTGGCATCTGTGAGACCTGAGCCAAATAAGGTAATATCTACTTCTGCGACATGTGATAATGATTTAATTGGGTGACTGCATGTCTATTACTTAATTAACACTTTTTGATAGCTGAAAGCCTATCATTTTCCTTTATTTGCTTGTTTAGAAATTAAATGAAGAAGATCGTCAATTACTATATGATAATGTTTATGATAAACTTCTTACATTATTGACTCGTTGTCAAAAATACGTTCAGCATTTAAATGATAAAGTAAAACAATCGTTAATCGAGCACATTCCAACACAAGTTGTCGAAGATGATCGTGGCAATGTTACAAAACACAAAAACAAATCAACAAATAAAAAGAATGAAAAATTGCAGCAAACACCAGCAACCGCTCAAGTTGAGGAAAAAAGTGATGATATGAAACGGAGCGATTTACTGAAAAAATATTATGAATTAACAGACAATGCAATTAAAGCAAGACAGCCCGAATTATTCGTTGGTGCTTTGAAACCATATCAATTAGCTGGCTTAGAATGGTTGAGGACTTTGTATGAAGTAGGAGTGAATGGCATTTTAGCTGACGAGATGGGCTTAGGTAAGAATGACTAAAAGTAAAATTAAAAGTATTTGTTCCAAAACTGTTTGTTTGTTTTAGGTAAAACAATTCAAATAATTGCATTAATATGTGATATGATCAAATCAGGCGCTCAAGGTATAGTAATTGTTCTCAAGAGGTAATACTTCACTGATCCAGGGCCGTAAATTGGGAGTCTCTCCTTCCAAGGAATAAAAATTTGTCCTTTCCTTCCAGCGAAAATTAAAAAGTTTCTCGTTATTTTGTGTTATTCTTACACACCTCCCTTCCCCCTAAAGTTGACTTCCTGTTTACGACTCTGCACTGATCATGTATAATGTGATTAGATTGCTTTGAGATAAGGTAAACTAAGTTTGCAAAAAATAACCAAAAGCTATCAAATGATCGATTTTACCCACGAAACTGCTCATCTCTTTTCGTCTTCATGTATATTGTCTTTTATTGAAGGTCCATTTCTCATTATTTCACCATTATCAACATTGACAAATTGGTTTACGGAATTTGCTCGTTTTGCTCCATCAGTCAAATGTCTTGTCTATCACGGAAATAAAGAAAAATTAGCTGAAATACGTGAACGATTCTATTCTTATAAAAAGACTAATAATATTTTTCCAGTATTAATTACAGCCTATCATATGATTATTAGTGATAAGACATTTTTTAAACGAGAGTATTGGCCGTTATTAGTTATAGACGAAGGACATCGACTAAAAAATCCAAAATGTCAATTGGTATCTATTTTACGTCGTTTACAACGAGGCAGTAAATTTTTATTAACTGGTACACCAGTACAAAACAATATGCTTGAAATGTGGTCATTGATGAATTTTTTATTACCGGATATATTTGATGAACCAGAAGTGTTTGAACGTTATTTTGAAATCGATAATGCTACATCAACTTTATCGGTCAAAGAAGAAGAAAAACGGCCAATTTTAAAAATATTTCATCAAGTACTAACCTTCATATCTCAAATTGCTTTCTTCCAACTTATCAGTGTTTTCACTTTTCTCTAGATATTACTGCCATTTATTTTACGCCGTCAAAAAAGCGATGTGAATCTATATCTACCTCCAAAAAAGGAAGTTACACTTTATGTAAAAATGACCAATTTACAAGTGCACTGGTATAATAAATTAGTTGATGAAATAGTTAGACGTTACATAATAGATGTAAGCGAAACTGGACAGTATTTTTTCATATATTGCATTTGTTTTTTGTTTTTCTAGCGAAAAAAAGATGATTTTGTTCAAATTTTTGAAAATGAACGTTTACGCAGTGAACGTAAATCAACGAGTGTAGTTCAACGATCAAAGTAGCAAATTCTTTTGATCTTAGATTTTGAAACGAAGTCATCAATCTTTCTTTTATAGAGAAGATGAAATATCACGTCGAATAACTGGTCGAAATGTCGTTTTTCCATTACTTCGTGCTTGTACTCATCCATATTTATTACAGCCACCAATCGATGAAAATGGAGAACTTATTATTGATGAAAATATTATCAATAGTAGTGGAAAATTTATTTTGCTGGATAAAATGTTACCAAAATTAAAAAAAGGTGGACATAAGGTATTTCAAAAATTTTTGCTTGTGATTTTTAAATAAATAACAATAGTTGTCGTTTTTTAGATATTAATTTTTTCTACATTGGTTATCTTTCTTGATTTGTTAGAAGCAATGTGTGAACATCGAGGTTTTGGTTAGTTGATATGATATTTTCTTTTTCTGTTTTTAATTACCACTTTTAACTTTCTTCCTAGGCTATGTAAGATTAGATGGTAGTACAAATTTTGAAGATCGAATTGAAGCTGTATGTACTTCTAAATTTTAAGCTTAATTGTTGAAATCTATCTGTATGTTTTTTTCTCTAGATGGCTACGTTTAACAGAGAAAAAGAGATATTTATTTTCCTAATTAGTACCCGAGCTGGTGGACTAGGTTTAAACTTAATGGCAGCCGATACGGTTATTCTGTTCAATAGTGATTGGGTACGCCTGTTTATTTTTAAATAAAGTGCTTCTTAGATTAGTAAAATTTAGGAATAGTGAAAAATATTTACAGATACATGCGGAATGATGATAAATTGTTATATATTAGAAAACATAGTGTTGATATATTTGTCATAGTTACACTGACTGCATTGTTGTTTATTTAATTATATATAGATATGTTTTGGATATGTTGTCGTAGTGCTAGAAATTATAGTTATGATCGGTTTCTTTTTTAGAATCCAATGATTGATATTCAAGCGCAGGATCGGTGCCATCGAATTGGACAAACAAGAGTAAGTGTTTATTTATTATACAATCATTTTAGTTTACAAATTATTTTTTATAGCCAGTTGTTGTTTATCGAATGATTGTACGAAATACAATCGATGAACGTGTTTATAAGCGAGCGTGTTCAAAACAAGTAATGGAAAAATTGATTGTTCACGATGGTAAGTGTTCAACTTGCTTTTCAATATAATGATTATGAATAATCATATTCTTTTTTAGAATTGAAACAAGGTTTTGATGCCTATGAAAATGTTTTATCTTTTAATCCAGATAATGAAGAGCACAAGATGAATTTGGCTGAATTAGTCGAAGGTATTACAAAAATTGATAATAAAACTATCATAACGGAACGAGATAATTTGAAAGATGAACAAATTAATCGTTTACTTGATCGTACCGATTTGTTAGCCAAAATGGATGAACAATTAAAGCTTCAAGACAAAGAATTAATAAATAAGATAAAACATATTAACTAAACTTCAATTTTTCTTCCTCTTAATCCTGTAGTGAAAACTATTGTTTTCATTCTATATTCTACCACAAATAACAAATTGTACATTTAATTGAATGGATAATACTCGGTATTTGACTAACATATTCTAGCTTGAGCATATATTTTTCTGTTATGTTGAAACGTTTTTTAATGTGATTTTTTATGTGAGACTATCGTATGCAAATACAGATATAATAATAACAAATACGAAAAGAAATATAAAATCACTTGAAAAAGATGTGATCCGAGGACTATGTGGATTTATACTATTGAAAAAATTGTGAATGTCAGTGACAAGTTTTTCTGCTGTAGAGCTAACAGTGAAAATACGAAATGTATGCATATGCACTGGACGATCACTCTGCTTTTCTATTTGAAATACGATGTATTTCTTAAAATACACGGCTTTTTGATTTGGAAGAAACAACAAGAGCATATCGATAGATTTTAGTTTCATATCTATAATTGTATAGATAAATGGCGAGCGAAATAGTCACCGATTATTCTTTGTTCAAGAATAATCGGTGCCTATTTCCAATGTTTTAGTAGATTCTAAAAATATTCATTTTAAATATAAAACAGTTGAAAGATGAGTAAGTCAGCACTAAACTGGAAATTGTGTAATCTTTCATCAGCATTTTTGGATCTTTATTCCTGACAGTATGGCAACAGCATCCAACATCGTTAATGACTCTAGAAGATTGTTTCGAGAAAAGAATTCATCCTATATGTGAGACGAGAAAGATAGTCGACTATCGTAATTAGTACTCAACAAAGTACATTTCATTCTACAATTTTCCTACACGTGAACGAGAGTACTGTACTGTTGTAATTTACTAGTTGCATAAAACTAAGGCAAATTACTCAAAAATCAAGTTGTAATTGATTTTTTACGGAGAAAATTAATACTCGACTTGAAATCAATTATACGTTACTTTTCATCACTTTAGTAGTAGAAAATTTATCAATACTATCGTCTTTTGGTACACTTTTAACAGTTTTTAAACACTTATTCATCGGGAGTACTTTGTAGTACTCACGATTGAGTTTATTGTTAAGAATGAGATCGGTTATATTATTCAAAATTGAAAACAAATAATATCTACTTAGTACAAATAAATAACGCTTATGATTTCTACTTTATTAATAAACTTACTGAACGACGAGGGAAAAATACTTGTCGTTTAGTTCAGAAGAAGAACTGAAAATATACTTAAAAGTCATATACACTGATATTTTCACAACATTTATTCACACGCTTTTTAGACGGCAGCCGAGTTTTGTAATCTCAAGATGTCTGTGTGAATTAATGAATCAGACAGATTTTCCACTCTACCACATTCATATCACCGAAGTCAGTTCCTTTTATTCAAGAAAATAACCGAGATGACTTCATCCTATGGCTAAAAGAACAATCGTGAGGATATTTTGTGTTACTCTTCGTTCAAATACGAAAGTATTCATTTTACTTCAAAGCATTAGAGTGATAATAATCGTATTATATTAATAACTTTAAGAGAAAAAGAACAGTGAATAATTTGATACGTAGAAATGAACGATAACAGAAAAGTCTTGTTGCTCTCGAGCAACTAAAACATAACAACAACAACAAAAAAATCATTATAACTACGTCTAGAGTGGAGTGCGTTTCTATATGTACCAGAACTATGAAAAAATAGTCAAACGATCATTTAATTTAAAAAAATAACATTTACATTAAGAATGCCGTAGAATACCGAAATTAACCGAACAGAAAGATGTATAGATTTTCTTTCTGTTGTTTATGCGAGGAGATAATTAGGAAAGTAAAATAAAAAAATAAAGACATTCTAGGTCTTTTTATATTATTCTATAAGTAAAAAACATTCAAGATCTAAATAAATAGAGGCATTAACGTTTCTTCTTTGTTCATTAGGAAAAGCGAGAAGGTTTAAGATACGTATTGATCAATAAATTTATTGTTTTAAAAAATGATTCGTTTCTCTTGAAATCGTTTTCGTAGAATTTCTCTTAGCTGAGAACGTTTTTGAGAGAAAGTTGGTTCAGCCATTTCATATTGTCGAAGATCTTCATCGGATATTAGAGAAATGCAATCATTATCCACTGGTACATTGTCTTGTGAAGACGTATTATCCTAGAAAAAGTAAAGATTTCATAAATAAAAAAAATCATCAGTTTTGTATTTGGGAGAAAGAAAGGATTGTCGTATGTTCTCTGCTGCTTTTACTAAAAAATTGACTTTTATTTTACCTGATTTTAAACGACACACTATTTTTTGTTTTTCATAGAAAATTTGCACAATATAAATGTATCATCATTTTCAAGAAACGAAAAACTAGATAGATGTATTGTTTTGCTTACCCATATGTGTTTCAGATGCATTTCAAAATATGGCCATCTTTGACATAATTCGAACTGAAATTAGAGTGATTAAAGTTTTTCTAGAATAAGTGTTGATGCTGATCAAAAATCTGGCATAAGTTGTGTCCTTATTCAGTTTTTGAATAAATCGTTAGAAATCTGATCTCTGTAGATCCATCATAAATCTGGCAATCAAGAGATTCTAATCTGACCAGTTTATTGAAGGCATCGAGTTAAGTTTGTGGAAAATTTTTGACAATTAATAAGTTTTAATTCAGTTATTAAATTTAAATGTCAAATTCAGCAAAAGATCTAATCTTTTCAGCATTTAAGATAGAAAAAGTATTATAACTCAATTTTAACTTGTCAAAGAAAATACGCCTACTTTTAGTTTTCTTGTTCGATAGACATCAAATAATTCTAATGTTTTACAAAGAGATTCTAAACAAAAAGAGTGACATTATTTATGATCTGTAAGAGACAAAAACACATACCAGAACATTGACAGGTGTCAACCGTCTGTTTAATATCTTTATTATGACAGTTTATTGTATTGTGTTGGCAATGAGGCAGTATACAACAGGAACTTTCTTCATCGTTTAACGTAGGACAAATAGTAGTGGAATGGTCTAAGAATAAAAAAAAGATTATTTAATTGTTTCGAATAAAATTTTAATTACATACCAGCTGTAGAACAAGAACATTCACAAACATCATCTTGGCCTGAAGCAAATATTATCAAATTTTTATTCTTGTCAAAAACGTAAGAAAAAAAAAGGGTAAAATACCTGATGAATAGCCAAGATCTGTTCGAGTACCATCTGCTGTGGAACCTTTATTAGATAAATATATCACTTAAAAAAATACTGTTTAGTCATGTCGAATAAAAATACGTACCATTTTGTTTATGACAAGGACATATTCGTGAAGAAGATGATGATGAGGAAGATGAAAATAATGTCTCTTGTGAGCAAGAAAATGTGGATGATAATTGTTGAACATTTTCACATAAACATGTTTCAGATTGTTTTTGTTTATGACACACATCATTGACACATTGACAAAAATCACTACTGCGTTTTGATAACGGACAATGAAAATGATGAATAAGTTCAGTTTCTTGCACAAGCGTTGTTGCTGTTGCTGTTTCAGTTTGTTCTATCCAAGAGTCAGAACTTGTGCGCGCTGGTTGACGCATTGGTGTTTTTTTATGACCGGAACACGCGAGAGGTGAAGATGGACAAGATTGGACTTTAGATGTGGATGATAACGAAAACAGTTGATCACACATTTTACTATTATTATCGCTATTTTTTGAAGATTTTTTATTACTATTGGAAGATCGATTCATTTTTCTGGACCAACTACATTCACTCTCACAACTACTATTTCGTCTACGATTACTAATAACCACAGGCGTAGGACTTAAATCCAAATTATTATCACTCATTTTTGTGATTTTTATGACATTGTCTATTATCTAAATGTGTAAAAAGAAAAAGTAGACTCTTAGAAGAAACAGAAGTCATCTTTTTGATATCAAAAATTATTCTCTATTCCATTTACTTCGTTTGCATTGTGATTTTTCATTTGTCTTCGTAACTTTCGTTTTAGACGTCGTTGTTGTTTTTTGAACGTTTGTACTTCTTCCTGAGCTCGAAATTCTTCATATAATAATTCTAATGTGCTGAAACCTTGTTTTCTCTCAACAGCAATTTCGAAATCTAAAAAGTACAAAAAAGAAAAACAAATTTTTTTTTCTCTGTAATAAATGTATGCGTTAAGATACACATACTTCGTCTCAAACAATCAATGCCAATATAAAATAATAATTGCCATGTTTGTTCTTCAGAACGCATTGTTTGAGAGATTTTATGAAATCGTTCATATAGATAAAAACCCAAACAAGTTAAAATTTCTTCTTGAGCTATATCTAATGTTTTTGCATGTCTTTCGCGTCGACTAGAAGAAATACAAGTTTAAAAAGTGAAAATAAAAAACAATTTATTGTTTTAATATTATCATACCTTTCCTGAATTTCTTGCTCAGCACGTAGTATCAAACTACCAACAAATCCTTTTTCAGCTTGAACATGAATATGTTTATCGTGTGAACAACATCTTAAACCATCATACAATGCTGAACAAAAACCTTTTTCTCTCGTATGATCAACATTATTCACAAGAATATCATAGGCTCGTAAAACTTTTGTTTTGCATTCAGAACAAAACCTATCAGAAAAAAATCACATGAAGAACATAGTTATTCAAAAAAACACTTATAAAACAATGTACTTGTGTTTACGAAGATAATTTTCCAGTGTATCTAATAGGCCATCTGAATCAACCAATATTGCTTCCTCCCGACATTCTTGTGACATACGTTCCCAAACCTCTTGCCAATCACTACGATGAATATAAAAATATTTATTGTTTTGTTTAAAAGGTTCTACAATAAATCTTACTTTATCGATCTGGATTTATCTAACGAATGAATAAAACAACGACGATTCTTTTTTGATTTCGGAATACTATCGATGAACGTATTTAATTTAGATCTATAATTAACACAAAATACTGAAAATATTGTAAAGTTTTTGAAAATGTCGGTCTCTTACCCATTTACATAAAGTAGAGTATAGATGTTTTGTGGATCTGAACAATACGTTTTTTCCAATGTTAATGTTCCTTGTTGCGTAACAGATAATGGTTCTAAAGCCGGATGACGATATTCCATTAAGGATTTCAAAAAGTTTTCGATACTAAAACAATAAAAAAAAATGTAATATTAGTGAAAATGAAAGGCACAAATACGACTAACCTTTTTCGACAGCCAATACATGCTACGGAATTGGTAACAGCATTATGCAGTTGAGAACTTGATACACACAATGTTTCAAATATCTCATCATGTGTCAACGTTTGATAACGTCGTAAAAATGTATCAAAACTTTTCAATTTAGTATAACGAGTTGGGTCACACGGGAAACAATAATCGTAAAATTGAAGTTTCATCTAAAAAATAATACCACAAATAGATTAGTAACGTATAAAGCGAAAATAAGACAAACTTACAATGAGCGTATCATCTAGACTAATTGGTATTTGTCTCGTGTCAAATGAAGCTAAATCTTCTTTTTGACAAACAGATACTAAACGTGCAACAGGTTTTGACGGCATAACACTATTGTCACAAGAATACATCATTTGTAAGTTTAATATCTAGAACGATTAGGATACATAAAGAAAGTTATTTAACCGTTTTAAAATTTATCCAACGGTATTGTTGACACTTGTCCGTCCGCTCAAAACGAGAAGTTTTCTCCATACACACTACAGAGTATTGTTCAGCGCAGGGTGTCTAATAAAACTTTGCATTCGCACGAGTGAATTGTCCGTACAGCCTACAAGAAAAAATAAACCGTATCGTGTACAATTTGCAATTTAAATTTGCAATGTATATCAGGAAAATCTTTGCTGATAATATGGGAAAAGATGAAGAATTAAAGAAAAGAGACTAGTAGAAGAGAAATAGATAGCTATACATAGATTAGGGATGATTTGTTTTATGAACTCGTTTTTTATCTTAAATCGTTTAAGGTGTGATAAACAGTCAAATACCGAAATGTGTATATTACGCGTCGTTGTTATTTAAAAAAATTATAGAAACAGACCCTCGAAACTCGCATGTTAAACTGCTACATCCTTTTTCACCGCATATAAAATTTGTAGGATCTATGAAAAAAACAGGACGTTATAGTATAAATTAGATAAAATCTTATTAGAAACGTGTTAGATATATTTGGATATATGTGAGCTAGTTAGGCGAAAATCAATTGATACAGTATTCTAGCGAGAAGATTTGTTTCGACGTTATGGTTGATTTGATAGAAGTAATATAAGAAAAACTTCAAATAAGCTCAGTCCGAACTTATATATGATTAGTTTGTTTGAAATTTTTTATGCACGCATTTCGCCAGGGTACATTTAAAACGTTTGATTGGCTTACTATCACGAATCAACGACAAGCCATAAACCTTTTCCGTGAGAGCAGCAGTGTCGCGAAGAGGTCACTGTGAAAGTATGAATATATGGAAAAATTACGGCAAAAGTGTAGCACCATCGGTCTACGAGCCAGCGTCGAATATACTCAGAAGGCAGGAACAAATAGAGAAGCGTCTAGAACTAAAGAAACAAGCTTATCACAGAAATCAACAACAGCAGCTGATTGTGAACGATAACAGTTACAGAAGAAAAAGATACAACGTGTGATAAAGAAGTTTCGATAGAATCCCAGACAACCAGCATGAAAACTCCTGATTTCAACATTCTTTTTTTTCAAAAAGAATGCTGTTTTTGAGAACCATTGCGGGTTGTTCTTCCTAAAACGTACCACGTTTACATTGACTTTATCCGAACACTTCGAGAGTAACAGGACTAGTGCAACTCGAGCTCCTGATAATGAATATCACGTTTAAAAAATTTTAAAGAAAGGCCAACCTGTGGAGATCCTATTTTGCAGCAGAACAGGCCTTTTGTAGACATTTTCACCATTTTTTAGCCAAACACTTTCATGAGCTGGCACCGTCAGATTAGAATCTATATGTGCAGAGCTAAACAACTACTCTCTCCAATAGCAAAAACAATGCGGATATATGTACAAGAAAAGAATGCGAAATCTGGTAAGAAAAGAATATTTAATTTTATTACGCACTGCAATAGTTGAAGCCATTTAAAAATACATCAGCTGTTTTTAAAACGATAAAAAATTGTTTAGATCCTGCACATTTATTAAACATGTTATGAAAAACATCAAATTATCAATTAAATACAGAATAAAGGTGTCACTAGTCTATAAGAATTGATTAATTCTATGAAAAGAAATGCGCCCCGTTTAAACATGAATTTTACTGATCTGAAAGAACAATACAAAATATAAAAAAAACTGTTTTTGAATGAACTAGAAGCTTTTAACACCCAAATAACTGTTGAAAAACTGCCAAGCAACAGCCAGTTTATTGTCTGTTATGTGATTGTTGACAAAGGTTCGAAAAAAGGCATTTAAGATACCACAAAATGTTAGAAAAAAGTCAGTTAACAGTCACTGTTTACTGTAAATTTTCTGCTGTTATAACGGCAAAAAACAGGCATTTACCTGTGCATCCTAAAATGTAAAATAACAGTCGCAGTTAAATGGCTATTAACAGACCATTCTTCAATTGCAAAATATACAGCGAAAAAACCTACATTTAAAATGACTGTTTCATTCACCCTTTTATTTTGCAGTCATGATTGATATATGTATATATATCACTGAAATTTGGAAGAAATTTGCAAATTTTTCTCCTCTCCGATTGTACAAGTCTTCGAAACTTGTCTAGTGGAAGTCGTCGCTGGTTCTGGATCTGGTACCATCGATGGCACCTTGGATCGAAGGTACCAAAAACGTCAAAAATTTTGGAAACTATATTTTTCCACTATATTTTGGATATTAACCAAAAAATTAATCAAAGAAAACGTTCGATAATTGACCGTTAACAGCCAATAATGGTGTAACAACGGTCATTACATGATGCTATTAACTGCCTATTTTCGGACAGTTTTCAGCCTGTCAAAAAATGCCATTTTAAGGCATTAAAACGTTCCCATTTATAAGGTGTAACAATGGCCATTTAATGACTATTTCATTAGCTATTAACTGACATTTAATAGACAATTAATTACATCGTTTTCCACATCCTGGGTACAGTGTACCCAGGGTGATGCATTCCAAGTTGGAATGCATTATCATTACATTAAGCAGATCGATTTATCAAACAATCACTCAATAATTATTTTAGTCAACTGAGAGATAAACAACGGTTGTTTTACAAAAAGAGCGATCGGTATCAAGTATGGAAATTAGTTTCTCCTGTTTTAATTGTTTTAAATCGTTTACGTCAAGAGCACGCAACAATACAATTACATTATTTTGTTTTCTTCCTTTGTTTCATGCCGGGGAAATTTTATTCTAATTTTTTATGGTCGGCGGAAGTTTTCTAATCTTATAGATAGATTCTGCACCCTCAGTTGTTGAACGTCTCAGACCACAACTAATGGAAACTGTGTTTGAAAGGCTTTGAGACTTTGCTCATGTGTATGGCGAAGAATGAGACGTCCACTGGAATCATTCTCTAAAAAGTTAAATTTTCAAATTTCAAATTAAATTTAAAAAGTCTCCAGCACAAAATTTGAATTTTTAAATTTAATTTGAAATTTGAAAAATTTACCTTTTCTTAAAATTGAAATATCTTAACTCAGGTAAGTGATATAGACTTCGGACAAACGTCATTCGATAGACAAATAAACTTTTTACACCTGAAATTTGATGCTGGTGATGCGTTGTTGAGTTAAATGTTAACGACTG